GCTTATATTTCTTATCTACTTAATTTCTACTTATATCTCTTAATACATACATACATACTATATCTACTTAATATATACTTTATATAATAAAGTATTAAATATACTTTATAAACTATTACTATATACTTAATACATAATAATATCTACTTCTCTACTTATATTTTATATATACTTATTTTCCAATCTCCAATTCTCCATTATACTCTAATATTTAATTCTTATACAATTATTATATCCACTTAATACATACATTCTACATCTACTTAATATATATTTTATATATTAAAGTATAAAATATAAGTGTATTACTCATCGTATAGTATAGTATACTTATATATTATATAATATAAACATTATATTATATATTACTTACTATAACTAGTATTATACTAGTTAATTAGTTAATTAGCATTCTTGTTACATTTTTCATTATACTAGTTAATTAGTTCATTACCATTATTGTAACATTTTTCATTATACTAGTTAATTACTTAATTAGCATTCTTGTTACATTTTTCATTATACTAGTTAATTAGTTCAATACCATTCTTGTTACATTTTTCATTATACTAGTTAATTAGTTCAATACTTCAATACCATTCTTGTTACATTTTTCATTATACTAATTAAAATACTTCACATTTTATTTAACTAGTTGTTAGTTTGTTACATTTGTCACTATACTAGTTAACTACTTAATTAGCATTGTTGTTACATTTTTACTTGTACTAGTTATTTACTTCAAAAGTTGCTATAATTTTAATTGTAGAGACACACATTAATTCTACTTTGCAAAAAATTAGTTTGAAGTATTAATTAAAATAGTTTTAATTAGTTGCATTAGTTTTGTATCCATTATTATATTTGTTGTGAATTAATATTTGTTACATTTTTTAGATGGAAGGTGGTAGATATTCGGTTGATTTGGGTAACCTCCAACGCAATCGAAGAAACGAGATTGGGAGGAAGAAATCCCGCAAAGGTAAAGAACTTGCCGGGTCTTCATCTCAAAGTCGAGATGATTTTGAAACGGGTTACCAAAGGCGAGATGGAGATGCGATGTCCGAAGAACAACTCCAACAAGAATTGGCCCGACATAATAACCGCTTTCTACAACAACAACAAATGCCGACGACCATTGACGAAGAGGAGCTTGAGGATGAAGATGCGGAGGAATTGGAACCGGAGACGGCCGAGGAGGAGGGTGCCGGCAGCCACGACGCCGACGCGCCTGCCTCATCCCAAACCGCCACCGGTAATAAAAAAAGTAAGTCTGAACTAATGAAAAATAATTTTGATAAATGGAAGGACCCACAAACCGGCTATTGGCACGCAACTTGCAAGTGGTGCAACAACAATTATAGTTTGGGAACCTCCGGCGGATACGGATCCGCCGCAAGGCATCTTAAGGCAAAGCACCCCGTGGAGTATGCAAAATTAGGCGGCGGAACGGGGAAGCAAACTCAAATATCGAGGTTTGCGAATTCTCAACCTTTTGGTAATTTCTCCTACAATGATGCACAAAATTTGACTGGTATGGCTAACTTAATTTGTGAAGAAAATTTGCCTTATTTGTTTTCTGAAAGTCTTGCTTTAAGAGATTATGCACAAGGTAGTTTAAATCCTCAATTTAGAAATTATAGTCGCAAAACTGTTAAGAAAGAAATAATAAGGCTTTATAATGCGGAAAAGGAAAGGTTACAAATTTTTTTTGCAAACTTTGATGGGCGTGTTACTATTTGTTCTGACATATGGGAGGATGATTTTCATCATTTATATTATTTGGGTCTGACTGCACATTATATTGATGAGGATTGGAATATGCATAAACGTGTTCTTGCTTTTCGTGAATTTAATGATCGTCACACCGCTGAACATATTTATATTTTGATTGAGCGTATTTTAATTGAGTATAATTTGATTGATAAGGTGTTTGCTATTGGTTTCGATAATGCTACTAATAATACTGCTGCTATACCTAGATTGCGTGAGTTGTGTGGTGCCAATTCTTTGATGGGTAGATTTTTTCATCAATGGTGTGCATGTCATGTTATAAATTTATGTGTGCAAGACGGTTTAAAAGCGTTAGGAGATTCCATGGAGGTAATAAAGGGGGGGGGGGGGTTAGACGTATTTGGGGTAATGGTCAACTTAGATTAAAATGGCAAAGTTATTTGACTGAAAGAGGTGTGAGATATGTTGCTTTTCCTAAAGATTTGAGTATTCGTTGGAATAGTACTTATAAATTACTTAAAGTTGTTCTTAGATATAAAGAACATTTTCCTGCTTTTTTAAAAGAACATGATAACTATATTATAAACGCGGCTGAGATCGACACTTGCGAAAAAATTTGTAATGTTTTGATATATTTTTTTAATGCTACTGAAACTTTTAGTCATGTTTATAAACCTACCGCAAACCAATTTATTCCACAAGCTGTTAATCTCGCTGATGCTTTTAAAGAATTTCAAAATGCCGTTTTCGTTCATTATTTTTGTGATCATATGAAGGAAAAGTTTTTAAAATATTATGCGCATATTCCCCATATTTATGGTATTGCATTTATTCTCGATCCTCGTTATAGACTTGCTAATTTGGAAGATTGTTTCAACTTCTATTATCTTGCGTTTTTCGGTGAATTTCCAATGTATGAGGATAACCCCATAGATCCGAAAACGGAATACAACGAGGTTAGTACTTTATTTTATGCCTTATTTAATGAGTTTCGTGCACAATATAGCAACGCTCCCCCTCCCCCGTCACGAACATCTTCATCTAAAGGAAAATCGATTTTTAAATCTGCATTTGGCAATCTTATGAAAAAAACTAAAACAACTCACGTCACTGAACAAAGCGCATTGAATGAGATTACTTTGTATTTAACATATGAAGTTGATTTTGAAGAAAATGATGACTTTGACGTTCTAGACTGGTGGAAGTCAAAAGAAAGAACGTTCCCGATTTTAGCACGGATGGCTAAGCAAGTACTATCAATGCCGGTTTCAACAGTTGCGGTGGAACAAGAATTTAGTTCGGCCGGCAACGTCCTAACGGCATCTAGATCGAGATTGAGCGCGGAGTCTCTTGAGACGCTTATATGCTACCACGATTGGTTGAAGGCCGCACGTAGAACTCAAGAATTGAGCATCACCCCCTCCCAAGATTTTATGGATGACTCAACAACCGATGGTGGCTCTACCTATGCCGGAGATTCCGATTGATTAGTATTTTAGAATTTAGTACAAAATGTATTTTATAGCACTTGTCAAATTTATTTATACTTGTACTTCATATTTCAAAATTGTAAACTTGTACTTCATATTTCAAAATTGTAAATTTGTAGTTGTAGTTCAAATTAATTTGTAAACTTGTACTTCATATTTCAAATAAATATGTGTTCACTTTTTCATATGTAGCACTTCTCAAATTAATTAATTGGTTACAATCTAACGACTTAAAATTATTTTTCTAAAATATAAAGCCGGTTTTTAAATTAAAAATACATTTAGAATATGTAATTTGTTTAAATACTTATACACCTATTTTGTAACATTTGTTTTAGTTTTACTTAATTCATTAAATTAATTAATTTATTTTACAATATGTGTATAACTTAAAAAAAAAAAAAAAAAAAATTCAAAGCTCCCAAACGGCTATATAGCCGTTGGGGCTATGGGTGGGGGGCAGGGGGGTCCCGGGGGTGGTGGTGTGGGGAGTGGGGTTCAAAAACACCTATAAATACATCTATTTTCTAACATTTTTCTACACCTTTTCTCCAATTCTTCTCAAACTCTTCTCCATCTTCATCTTCTCTTATTATCCTACATTCCTACTTAATTACTTATATTGTTATACATATACCATTTTAAATATGGAAAGTACATCTTCCCTTATGCAAAACAATTTTGACAAGTGGAAGGACCCGAAGACCGGACTGTGGTGGGCAACTTGCAGGTGGTGCAAGAAAGACTGTTGCTTGGGGCGTTCATACGGATACGGGATGCCAATAAAACATATGAAGTCCTGTGACAAAGGGAAAACAACAACCAACGGTGGCGGAAATCCCAATTGATATTCATTACAATTTACAAAATGTATTTCGTATTGTTATTTTTTTCTCAATTCTCAAATGTAGTTCTTATTTCAAATAAATGCACTTGAACTTTGTTTTTAATAGCAATTTGTATAATATATAATTAATAAAAATAAAAATAAATTATTGGCCCGGCCCGGCCCGGCGGGTGGCCCGACCCGTGACCCGGGCGGGTGACCCGGCCCGAACCGGAACCGGTCATTGACCGGGCCGGTCCCGGGCCTACCCTTATAGGACCCGAGGCCCGACCGGGCCTTGACCCGGCCCGGGTCCATGCCTAGTTGTTCCTACACAACCGTCGTCAAATTTCACTCATGTGACCAAGTGATCAGCTGGTCTGCTGGTCATGCGGGATTGAAATTTTATATGAAATTTTAATTGGACTAAAATAGATCTAAGAAATTATATAAAATAGATCTAAAATATTTTAATTGGACTGAAATTTTATAGTAGTATTTGTGTTTTACTATTGGCTAAGCCTTATATGATCTTATATGAAATGTTCAAGTCTTGACTTGGTATGGGATTGAAAAATCCATCTAAAACATTCTTAATCTGACTCTGTAAATAGTGAATGAGCAAAATTTACAGTTGAGCAAAATTGAAATCCATAAGTTTAATGGATTTCAATTTTTTAAAGTATGTGTGAGATCTGCTTTGAAAGATATTTATTTATCTAATGGAATATATTTATTTACCAAGTGTGACACCAAGTCACCAACATTGTAAAATAATAATCCTTCATTTCATAAAATGAACTTCTACATGAAATTGCATTTATAAGTAACCTTAATAAAACAGCTTTTGATAAGAGATTCATAGCACTCCACGTCTCCACCACCACTCATGGGCCTCATGGCCTCATGGGTAGAAGTGTAGAACTCTAGTCTAGTCAAAATGCATAACAATACAAGCCAATCCAAACATACAACTTGAATATAATGTTTTCACCGTTACAATGTTAATATTAAAACAAACAGCATTTGGTTCTATTGATGCGGAGTATATTGTAACTTTGAAAGCAATAGACAAAAAGAATAAACTTAGTCAACTGCAGTCAAGTCTGGTACATATTTTTATAGACCTACCAAAGTGAAAATGGTACAAATTAACCAACTGATGCTATCTAAGGTACACCATAACTCTTTCGAGGAAAAAACAAAAGCAATTATAGAAATTCAACTATTTTGGCCAAAACAATACTTTGGCTTGGAAACTTCATGTTTAATTTTATTTTCTTTATCAACTCAATCATTAAATAAATAACAGGCAAAAATGTTACTCCGGAAAACACACAGCAACCATGCAAGACAAGCAATGTGTTGAAATCTAAGCTGCAGCGGAGAGTTTTTCCTCATGTTCATCGAGGTTGAGAACTTCCAGCAATTTTGGCCAAGATTCTGGTATACCTCCTGGCAAATCAAATTCCAGCAGCTTCCCTTGGCTGCGATAGAACTCTTCCACTGGCTGACTCTGCAAAATGTCAAAAGGCTTATTAAAGACCATCATGACAATCTGACAATGACAATGACATCATGACTACATTTGGTGGTGAGGGGGCAGATGAGGTTTTCTGATAAAAAAGGACTGTCCTTTCATGCTGTAATTTAAATTTCAAGTGTGGGTCTCGTCAGTGTACTAGCACCACATGGTGCCACCAACGATCGCGTCTCCAGGTGTGGGAAAACTGTCCTTTCTGCAGAAAGAATGGGAATTAGAGATGGTGGTTGAGGAGATTCCTCATATATAGAGCACGTTTTGTAAGGGTAAATTTAGTTGCAAATTAGAAAAGGATGAAATGGTTGAATTTGATGAAATTGTATCTCATATGGCAGGAATTAAAATAAAACTTAATAAAAATTAAAGAAACTAATACGTAGTACAAAGTATCTAAGATGAAGGTAGAATCAAAAAATGCAATAGATTCTTTTTCATTCAGCAAAGCAATAACCTACAAAGCAAGATCTGAGAGCAAGAAATGTACTTGAACTACTTCTCTTCATTATCAACTGAACAACTATTTAGAAGGAAATATCTTAAAGCATAAACGAAATTAAAGAGTTATGCATAAGGATGAAAGAAATGTAACAAGAGTACAAGACCAACTCCATCTTCCTCTCAAGTTTGTAAGAGGAAGGGTATAATTGTATAAAAGACTAAACTCACTGTGAGATTGCATTGACAGACATTCATTTTTATCACTACCAGATACAGAGTAGTATTTAAAAAATAAAAGTGGAGAAATACCTTCTCATAATATACAAGAAGCCTCTCCTTGACAACAGCTATGGTATCATCAGCTCGAGTGGTTAGCTTTGAAACACATTGTGGAGGGGGGAGTAGTGGGGCCATGCTTATATCGGGGCTCCCATTTTCACCCTTGACATCAATTGAAGCCACATTGAAATTCTTCCCGCACTCACCGCATATCCTCCTCCCAAGACATTTCTCAATCAATACACTTTCTGGAAGCTTGAGATTGACAACCAACTCTATGTCTGTCACATCATTCAATATTTCCTGTTCCATAAACTAAATACTGTTAGAATCTCATATAGGAGAATCCAAAGAGAGAATGATTAGTTAACCATATCTTGGTTTGAACTAGGTAATATACTAGATTCGGTCTTTTAGTGTACTTTGGCCCAAGTGCCTTATGGCCCTTATGGTCCAGTTGAGTAACATGAGGTTCTCAGGCCAATCCTAAATTCTACGGTTCTACCATGCCACAGGTTTAGCAATCCATCCATAAAGACCTGCAATTTCTTTACTCTAATTGTTCGTCTCAAAGTTAATCCCCACATACTCGAGAGTCCGAGACCAACAAAATACAGTTATCCGTCTAGAAGTTTAGCTTCATTAGTTCAGTGACCAGTGATCCTTTAGATGTTGCTGATATATTTCAAGTATCAGTTTCAAAGGGAGAATGGAGTCAAGTTTGCAAGGGAGCAACCAGTTAGATTCAATCTTGGTGTTATTTGGTGCAAGTGCTTTAAAGTGGAGTTGAGTGACATACTGACATTACCCCAATCTTGAATTTTATGAAATAAACACACACATCGTCATCATTAACCACTTAGAAAAAATAAGGTGTGTTTTTAATTTCTAACTAAGATGGTAGATAGTAATTCTATAATTCTATAGTCCATTATCCTCCAAACCAAAAGCACATTAGACAAATTAACACAATCATAATTCTATAGTAACCAACTGATGTTATTGTGCACCATTTAAAATCTCCCACTTCAACAAAGAAAGGTTCACATGGCAATTTAGATTAAAGCATATTGGGCTTCTTATAACTATTCATGTCCATAAGACCATAACATCGAAGAAATATTTGAGTTTTTATACAACACTAGAAATAACCCATGATTGTATGTTTGGTTCACAGAAATTGCTAGCGAAGTGAAGGAAGATGTCAAGCCCAGTTATTTTCTTAAAATGAAAAGAAAAAGAAACATGACTATTTTCACTAGAGTAAAAATCATATATTTAGATTTCTTAGTCTTTTTTTTTTATCGAAGAGGGTTTTATATCATTAAAGTAGCATTCAGCAGGGGTACAGGATAACAAAAGAGCCACAAGTAACCATCCGCACTTGGTCGAGACTCAGAGTTAACCACCTTTATCAAAGCAATATAACTCGCTAGACCTGAATTGGGCAACTTTAAGCCAATGACGATTACCGCAGACTTCTCATCCCCCAAACCTAATGCAAGAGTCTTACAACATAAAATAAAACAACACACAAATGGCTTAACCTGGAAATTAAAATGCAGAAAAAATAGACAATCAAACTTCAAACCGCGTCGATCAACCCTTGGAGGTGGTTCTGGAGAAGGCCGGACTCTTGCGACGATTGTTATTGCATCAAAGCGGTTTACCTCCAACTCGACCGCCCCTTCGTCAGCATCAACAATTGCCAATTTGTCCGTATCTTGCACTACTCGACTCTCCTTATCTGCGTGAAATTGTCCTTCAATCCCCTGTTTACCGACTCCAGTCATCTTCATCTGCATTCAACCTCCTTCGGTTTCCATGCCCAAATCCTTCAAGCTCTCCTCTCCTCTCTTCCACGACCGAAACCAGAAATCAAGAAAAAACAAAACTGATCTTCGATCGAGAGAGATCGAAATCGGAAAAACGACCCTAGCGGCGCAAACCCTAGGGAGATGACCGATTTTTCCTCAAGAGAGGAGACGGCCTTCAGCTTATATGAGGTCTTTATCAATCATTGTTGATAAACACAATAAAAAATAATAAAAGAATAAAATTAATGAACCAAAATATATAGATCTCTTAGTCTTTATATAATAGAAATATAAAAAAAAAATAGTTTGAACAAATATCAAGAACACATTTATTGAGTTTGGGTATATCCTTTATTTTCCCTCAGATTTTCTTTCTTTCACATTTTCCTTTACAGACACCCTTAATGGAGTACTTTTTGGTTTCCCTAATATATTCAGGGTCCACAGAGACCCTTAGTGTGAGTTTGTGACTAGGTTTAAGAATTCACAACTAGTACACAGCATAAAGAGCAAGAATGTTGTTCTTACTATCATGGTGGAACAAAGTCAACAAACAAATCATACAAACTAAAAAAAGGTGAAACATACTTACTGCTTGCCTAACAGTTCGAGGGAATCCATCAAGTATAAATCCTGCTTCACCTCTAGCTTCTCCAGCCTCTAGCCTCTTTGACAGTAAGTTCAGTATTATCTCATCTGAAACCAACTTCCCTTGGTTTACAATCTCTGCAAGCTAGAAAGCATAAAACGACACTCCAGTTGATGATTGAAAGATCAAAGACCAGGAGATGAAAGGAGGACTATGCATTTTGTAGTAAAATGTTTGGCATTTAAGGCTTGTTTGGTTCGTGATTTTGAGGGAGGAGGGGTGACCTTATTTTTTGAAGTGTTTCTAAATTTAGTGATTTAGATGGTCGGCAAAAATGTGAAACTAAAGAGCTACACACGATACATGATCTAGCTAACCAGTAACCATATAACCATTTCTCTAAAGATCTAACAATAGAGATAAATTAGTAATTAAAAAGCAATCTGCCTCTTCCCTTTCCTCTAAAATCCCCTAACCAGACAAACATTTAGTGAATGGTACAGAACTCAATATATAAGCTGGATTTGCATAAAATGTGAGCAAACGGCCATGAAACAATGCATTACACATTGACATGAAACATCAGATTAGCTTTCTTCACATTGACATGTCAAATATTTCCTTTTCCAGAGATTCATAAGTTAATACTTGTATGCATGTGTATGATTCTATATCTATAACCTCCCATAGCATGAAAACATACACTGCTTTTTCATATAACCTCCGTTTTCGAAGGAGAACATATTTCAAAAAATGCATCTTTAAGATGGGATTTATAGAAATTGGCTATTATGATCCTACATATATAACGATATGAACAAAAATAATAGCTCTGAGTATGCGGAATGTCAGCATACCTTCTGAGAGAGAGGCCCTGATGAATTGAGCTCTTCACGGACGAGATCGCCGGTGGCGATGTGCGGAACTCCGAGGAGAGTAGAAAGACGGCTAGCGTAGGTCCCCTTTCCGACGCCGGGGCATCCCAAGAACACCCACTGGATTCCTTTAGCCTTTTGATCTTGAGCGGTCGTGTGGCGGGCATGAAGGTAACTATGCGGTTTCACTGTCTCCGATGCAGCGGCGGCGGAGGTGGTGGAAAAACAGCTTCGTATGAGGGGAAAGGAGGAGGATGGGGATCTGAATAGGCGGTTCATGGAAGCCATTGACGGGACGATTCGGAGCGTGAAGCGGCCGCGGTGGTATTGGGCGGCGCGGGTGAGGAGACAGGCGGAGAAAGCTCCAGTGAAGCAGAGCAATGTGGGGAGGAAAGGAAACGGTGATGTGGGAAGTTGTAGGCTTAACGTTACGCGGGTCACGTGACCCGTACCCGTCCATGTGACTTGATCCGCTCCTTTTCGGGCGCTGATCGTTGAGAAGAATATCTATGTTAGCAAATGACGGGAATGCCCTTGTACTCTCTACGTACTAGGGGTGCAAATGAGCCGAGCCGCTCGTGAGCCGCTCGCGAGCCGCTCGGTCAAAGCTCGAATCGGGATCGGTCAAATTCGAGCTCGAGCCGAGCTCGAGCCGGCTCGTTAAGCAGTCGAGCCCGAGCTCGAGCCTTCTAATTTCAGGCTCGCTGGCTCGCGAGCCGGCTCGCGAGCCTAATTTTATATGTGAATATTTATAATATATATATATATATATATATATATTATAATCATATATAATATATTACTATGCAATATAAATTAATATATAATGTATACTGTTATAATGTACGGAGTAATATATATGATATACTCCCTCCGTCCCCTTTTAAATGTCTCGGAAGAGTATGACACGAGTTTTAAGAAAAGTGGGTTTGTGTGATTGATATTAATTGATAAAGTAAGAATAAAGTAAAAATAATTTTGAACCACACAAACTTTACCAAATAAGGTATGAGACAATTAAATAGGGACATCCCAATATGGTAAAACGGGACATTTAAAAGGGGACGGAGGGAGTATATAATATATGCTGATTAGTAAAATTTTATAATATTTTAAACTTAGGTCGTTACTACTCAATAGAAAAACTTAGAATGGGCCGATGACAGTGAATTTTTACTACGGACTCATTATGGAGCATCATAATGGTTATCGAGCCTCGAGCCGAGCCGAGTCGAACCGAGCCTTCTGCGAGTCGAGTTCGAGCCGCGATTTTGTAGGCTCGTTCGAGCCGAGCCCGAGCTCGAGCCGATGCTATATATTTCGAGCTCGAGCTCGAGCCTGTAGAAAATCGGGCTCGACTCGGCTCGTTTGCACCCCTACTACGTACAGTTAGGTGTTCGGCATATTGGCATCTCATTGGGCATATTCCCCATGTTACGAATTCTTGCGTGGGACTGGGATCGTCAATCCAGCGTGGCCATTATCAGACGAGACCCTATATGCTACACCCGGTTGTATGTACATCCGTGGTCCAATTAACATAAAAGCCCATTAACAGATCTAGCCCATAACACACCTGGCCCCAATTTTTACCGGGTAATATCTATAACCGAAAAACAGAGCCTGCGATTTAAACATATCAAAAAACGGAAAAGTAACTTCTCTCGAACTACCTTCTGAAATTTCTTCGAAAACGACGCAAGCATTCATACACGCCGTATTAAAGCTCGAAAAACGATGACAGCCTCCAGACGTTTGTCAACTTCGTGGAGTTGTTCGTAGAGTTGCAGAGCAACGACAAGTGAAGAACAGAGGAAGAGTTTGAGCAGCAAGTTGTTTCTGTTTGAGCATTGAAGCGAGTGATGGACCTAATATCCGAGTATGAGATGATGAAGAATGCAGATAAGCATGAAACTGCAGAAGGATCAGAGAGGTATGTAATATTATAGTGTTGAAATTTGTATTCAAGTAATGATTCATCAATATACTTGCATGTTTCGAAAATTATAGAAAAAATGAAATGATTTTGACAAATCTGAAGCAGATTATGAATTTGATGCATGATATGTGTTTATTAAGTATATCATTTGAGGTTTTGTTCAAAATACAAAGGTTATTGCTCATTTTACTCTACTTTAGGTCATATGCATTACTAACTAGTTGTTAGAACATGGTGATACTGTAATTAGGTTACTTCTAAGATGATAAAATACTCAATCTGTGGTATACAGTACTCATCTATGAATGGAGTGGTATGTGCTTTAAATTTTCTGTACTTATTGAATAATATCCTTATGATTCATATGTGTTTATGCTAATTAATCATAATGTGACATTAAAATTGAAGTCATACTCATTATTTGAACACTGTATCAAATGAACAAATAGACATTGTTTCATGAACAATGTGTCATGAAGTGCAGTAGATTCGTTTGCATGGACATTGTGTGTGTGCTCATAATGTGAGTGTAAGATGCTCAAATTGTAAAACACTGTGTCACAATTTTATAGTACTGAAAACTGGTGATAATATGTTAGTTATTCATAATGTTAATTTAAAAGTGAACTGATACTCATAAGTTGATCAGTACTTTCAAATAACCATATGGTGTTATGTTTTCTTATAAAGCTATGAAAAATTTGTCTTAGAATATGCTTGTCATAAACTACATTTACATATAAATATAGTTTGTATAGAATATGACTGTGATTGAATAGAGTTACAAAATAATATTTTGTGTGCTCATGATTTGATATATATTACTCATTTTAATTAATAATACAGGATTTTAGATCCACGACCTATAAGTGAGATCCCAGTGCTGCGCTCAAATCCAAAAAAGAGAGTAAAAAAGACTTCCAAGGTTCCACAGAAGCAGAAGAAGATGAAAACAAAAGCAATTCCAAAAAAGGAAAAGGCTAATATGGACTTAATAAAACAAATTGAAGCTGAGATAAAGATGAGTGATGAAGAAACAAGGGTTGCAGAAGTAAGGAAGGATAGCACTAAGAAGACTGAGCATGTTGGAGAACAATCTGAGAAACAAGGGAGGGATACTGAGCACAAGGGAAAGAAACTGAGCACCAAGAGAGGGAAACTGAGGAGCATCAGAATGTTGAAGAAACAAGCAAAGGTGGCAGTAAGATGACTGAGAATGTTGTAGAAGAATCTGAGCACCGAGGGAGTGAAACTGAGCAGCAAGGTATTGAAACTGAGCAACATGATAATGTTGAAGAAACAAGGAATACTAGCAGTAAGACAATTGAGGAGGTTGGAGAAGAATCTGAGCAACAGGGAAGGGAAAATGAGCAACAAGGTAGGGAAATTGAACAAAATCAGATTGTTATAGAAGCACAACAAGGAGCTGCACAGAGAAATAATGAGAAGAAAAGAAAGAGAAATAATGCAGGCTCAATTAAGAAAAGTACAGAACAGGGAAATTCAAGCAAAGAGAAAGAGGGCGAGGAGGTTAGTCCAAAAAGAAGAATTACAAGATCAACAACTTCAGAAGCAACTGAAAAGAAAAATGATGAAGTTCAGAAAAAGAAGAAAGAAGTTCATGCAAAGAAGAAAATAATAAGGGAAGCAGAGTCAATAAAAGAGAAGAAGCAGAAGATAAAGAAGAAGAAAGCAGAAGAAGAGGAAGAATTTGAGGAGGACGAAGAGGAGATAGAGAAGGAAGAGAATGCAAAATACCCAAAGCTGTGGACAAGAATGTCTCCGAGTAGTATAACAGAAATAATGAAAAAGCTAAGTGCAGAACAGAAGAAAGAGGTGGTTGAGATGGGATTTGGCCCCTTACTGAACCTTGAAGTGAAGCAATTGCCAATGCAGTTGGCATATTGGTTGCTGGACAATTTTGACAGCAGAAGTGTGTCTCTTCTTCTGCCAAACAATGAAAGGTTGAGGATTAATGAAGATGGAGTGCACGTGACATTGGGGTTTCCAAAAGGAAAGATTAATGTGAAGAATTTGATTGACACTGAATCTGAGAATACATCACACATGGTGGCTAATTGGAGATCACAATTTCAGACTGAAAATGGAGTTGTGAAGACTGCTCAAGTGAAGAAGGTTATAGAAGAAAACAAAGCAGGCGGAGGATGGTTTAAAAAGAACTTTTTGGTTCTCCTGGTAACGTGTTTGATTGAAGGGAAGCAAAATTGCTTTGCCAATCAAAGCATTCTGAAGGCATTGCAGGATGATTCAAAAATCAAGGATCTGAATTGGTGTGGATACACTTTGGAAACATTAATTGAAGCAAAGGACTATTGGAGCAAAAATAGAGAAAGACAGTTCCCAGGGCCTTTATTATTTCTGATTGTAAGTTTCAAATTCTTAATGTTATTGCTCATTTTTACCACACTATTACTCATATCCTCATATACACTACACAATTCTAAAATCTCATAAAATATGTAGGTGTTCTATGTAGACAACATTGTATTCAAAGGCAGAAAAGTGGACAGAGCATTGCCATCTATTATTGGCTGGACAACACAAAAGCTGAACAAACGACAGAAGGAAGAAATTGAAACTGGAGGTTTTGGATACGGATATATAGATGAACCTAACAAAGGGGAATTGATAGTTCCAAAACTGATCACAAATGAAGAAGAAGCTGAAATCCAGATTGAGGGAAACAGTAATCAGGAGCCAAAGAAGGTAAGGACAGTATTATGTAATTTTAACATAAACAATTGGGTAAATATATAAATGATAAGTATGATATCTAGATATGAGTATTTAGTACAAAGTAATGAGTGCATTTAAGAAGTTAAATAAAAACAAAGATAATAAATGTGTTAAAAATATGGGAAAAATTCTAAAGACTGAATAAATTAAACTAATAAACGTATATGCTTCATTCTATTATTTTAGTATAAACTCAATCATAACATAAAGAATGCTCAATTACTGTTCTAAATTAATCATTAAATAACTGCAGGATATTATGAAGGAGTTTGCTGCAGCAGCGAAGAATTTGGCAGAAAGCATGGCCAATTTTGATGAAAAATTTCAACAGGCTGCAAAGGTGTTACCTGATGATGACACAATGAAGATTTTAATGGGAAAAGTCCATGGGCTTTTCAACACATATTCATCAGAAAAGGAGAAAGAAAAAGAAAATGAAACCGAAGTGTCACTGACTCCAGATGATGGATTCTGGACTGAAGAAGTGCTCAAAGCAGTTGAAGCTATTGAAATGGCTCAGAAGAAAAGAGTTGAGAGGCCAACTTTTACTCAGTATGAAAAGCCAAGCTTCAAGTTGCTTTCACAGGAGTCAAATGATGGGGCGAATACATATGGGGATGATGATGAGCAATCATGACATTATTGAGCAACATGGCAATGAAGTTGAGCATGCAGAGGATGGTCCAAGTGAGCAAATGAATAAGGATAATGACAATGCTGAGGATGTTAATGAGGATGAAGAGGAATCTGAAAAGGAAGAATGTGAAGAAGAAAGAGACATAAGGTTTAGAAAGGGTAAGCAAGTTGAACAATATCACATTGAACCAAAAGAGAACAAAGTGGAAAGAGAAAAAAGAGAAACAGCCCCAGCAGCTGCTGTGAAGTCCCCATTCATGAACAGAAGTATAGATGCAAGGACAACACTTGGCAGTGAGGAAAGACTACTTGCAGGTTTTGTGTTCAATGATCATTGTGACAAGAAGTAAGTCGCTAAGTTTTATTTAATCATTTCGTTTAATATAATGCACATTTAATATTTGAAGGTTACTCATTCTGATATAATAATTCTTTTCAAACAGTGTTGTTGTGTTCAAGCATTACAACTTCACTCTTTCAAAAGCTCAGATGGAAACAATGAAGAGCAACACAAAAGTTGATGCTGGAATTATAGATATATGGGCAATGTTGCTTAATCATAATGAAAAGTTCAAAAGCCCTGAAGCTAAAAGCAGAATGATTTTCTCAACAAGACCATGTGTAAGAAGTTCATATTCATTTACTTAGTATTACTAAAATGAAACTAATATATTATAATATTTAATGACAGCATGTGCTAGATCAAAATCATCTCACCGCTCCACAAACAAGAAACAAAAGGTTTGCGGCAGAAATTGGCAAGGAATTTCCCTGTGCAGATGGAAATAAGTTGAGGTCAACAGACCTATTCATATTCCCAGATGAATACAATGGGTGCTACTATATGATGTGCTTTGACTTGAAGAGCATGAAGTTCTACATCATTGATAGTAGCGACGGAGATATAGCTCCTGCACTCAAGTACTTGTTTCAAATGTCATACCTGGTAAATGTTTTATATGAGTAATGTGCACTTGATAATTGAGCAACTACATAGAAAATATGTTTATGAACATAAGAATATGTATAATTCTGTTTTTGGAATTTTTAACTACAGAGAAGTGGATTTGTGAAATTTCTTCGAAATCAAAAACACCCAAAGGCAGATAAGGTTGTGAAGCTGAAGGAGGAAGTGGTTAAAATGCATTGGAGAAACAAGAAAAACAAAACCAATGAGGGAGTTTATTTGATGAGGCACATGGAGACATTTTATGGTGACACGGCATGGGAGTGTGGATTAGATAAACAAAGTGTAAGTCCAAAATTGTTTAATATAGTTTTCAAACACTGCACAATAATTATGTGAAAACTTGAATATCTAAATTATAATGTTTGTACAGGAAAAACCAATTGAGATGCTGCGGATTAAGTACTTGCATGCAATAGTAACATCCGATAAGAATGAGATCAAGAAGAACATCATGGAACAAGTGAAGAAACACAATGTGTATATCTAGAAGATGTGTAATGCTATTGATGATTGTGGGCGTCGATGAACATATTGTTGTTTTTTAATTCATGCTAAACAATATTAGTATTTGGGACATATGATATTACTATTAAGCTTGGATGACAGTAGTCATGTTAGTATTATTAAATAAGGACATATGCTTATGGGAAGTTCATATTATTGATCATTATTAGTAAGTTCTATGCTCATTTCCTTGCTTACTTATACACATTTTAAGGTATTAATGATAATTACTAGTAAGTACTATTCTCAATTCATTTATTACTTATACAAAATTTTAAGGAGTGAGCTTTTAAATTTAAATTCTTTGAGTGTGAAAGTAAGACAATGTATTAATTCATTAAATAAACAGTGCGGGGGTATTTTTTCCAATTATTCGAAATTTATTTATAATGGTATGAGTCTTCACTACGAACTGAAATAGATAATTTAAAGTTTTTTTGGGAAAAATATGTGTATATTTGTGTTCATTGCGAAATAGTAATTATACACATTCATAATGATTGTAATATTGATTGCTGACATCTGTATTTATGAAGTTTATATTAATACTCATTATTAGTAGCGTAAATGCTCATTTAATGACTTAGTTTACACAATTTGAAGACTAATCAATTGAATTTTAGAACATTAAGTATGAAATTACATTATACAAATTTTCTTATAAAAATTATACGTAGTATTTAATTTGAAATAGATTTAGTGAGTCTTGCATTCAAAATGCATTAACTAAAAAATTATATTTACTTCTATACTCATTTTGTTAACACGTGGTACTCATTATAGCACAAACAATTACTCAAAGAAGATTAGATCATAGGAATGTATGATTACAAAAAAGTAAAAACTACAACAAAAACATAGAGGAACAACATGTAAAGTCTAAAAGTGAAAATAACTGAAACTAAAATGATGATAAAAGATAAAAGATGTTCTTTTTTGAATAATATAATAAGTATGTAAATAAAAAACAAAGCTTTTAAGAATGTTTACACATTTCAAGGTTCAATATTCGAAGTACTAGCTGCAGTTGACTTGTTCCTTCCTTGGACTTTAAGGTTCATATTTCAGAGAACATTTATAATATTCCAAAGCATAATTTTAAATGATTAACATACAGCTACTGTCTGAGCATCAACACAAAAATGTTGAGTAATAAAAAATCCTGACACCAGTCATTAGTAAACTAGTGAATATAACAGAATTACTACATAGCTATTGGAAAATCAAACTACAAATTTGCTTGATCAGTTTCAGATGTACTAGCTTGACGTGACTTCTTCTTTGCTCTAGCTTGATTTGTTTTGATTTCAATAAGACTCTTGCGACGGACATTTCTTTCACCCTTCTTCCTTGAAGACTTTGGGTTAGATATTGCTGAACCCAAACCAACTGTAGAAGATTCACTATCTGAAAAGTAAATACTTCCAACTTGCTCTTCAACATCCCCTTTCAACTTTGTAAAAGATTCTTCACAAAAATGCCTTGCTGCAAAATTAGAATCACTAGAGCACAAAAGCTTGTGAAATTTCTTTTGCATTTGCATTCTCCAAACAGAAGGTAAAACATTAGAAGTCCCAGATGAGGCATATATTTGTTCAGTTGGAACACACTTTGCACTACGCGTCCAACGTTTCAGAACATAACAATCCGGTATAACTTCTACACAGTGAATATGATATATACGAAGAATATGACAACACAAAATACCAACTTCTGAAAATTTCTCACACGAACATTTAACAAAATGTGTTGTCATATCAAAAGAAACCCAATGTGAAAATATATCTATTTGAGGCATCCATACCAAATATGACATCAAAGAACCTTGTTGATGTCTAAGTTCATATTTCAGGGACATACCTCGTAGAAATTCTTTCTCAAACAGTTTATACGCATCAATCGTGTAGACCTTGGAGGCTTTATGTAACAAACCAACAAAAGGAATGACAATTTCCGGAAAACCATCCCAACAACGTTGCTGATCTTTACCCTCATTACTTCTCCATTGACTCACACTTTCACTGAAAAAATGGTAGAAGTCACAAAGACACGAGTTTGCATTCAGTTTTCTAGATATTGAGTTATTTGTGGACTCGCTTCGTTGTGAAGACAAAATTCCAGAAGAAAAGAACTGCTTTGAAAAAGCTGGACACCATTTCTCTCTCATCTCGTACAGTTTGGTCAACCAAGGATTATCAGAACATTTGTATTCACAAACCATCCTGCAAAATATGAAGCAAAATACTCATTTAAAAAACACTATTACTCATTACAGATAAGCAGTTTGCTCAACAAGAAGGTATACTGTAAATGCAGAAAACATAAAAGGAAGTATACGAACAATGAAAAATACCTATTCCAATAATGATCAAACTCTGCAACAGTCTGACAGAGTTTCAAAACATGATCAAATAAAGCCAAAAAGCCTTCGTCATTCCTCAAATCTCGTATATGTTTTTTAGAATTTTCAATTATGTGCCATATACAAAGACGATGCCTTGAAGAAGGAAAGACTTTAACTATTGCAGCAGACATGGCGGATGACTGATCTGTCATAATAGTTTTCGGATGCACAAAATCCATTGAATTCAGAAAAGTAGTGAAAAGCCATTCAAAAGATTCAATTCTTTCATTGAGAAGAAATCCACAACCAAACATGCATGTATGGGTATGATGGTTAATTCCTACAAACGGTCCACATATCATATCGTATTTATTAGTACGATAGGTCGTATCATGAATAACTAGCTCACCAAAAGACAGATAATCTTCCTTCATTTTTTTATCTCTCCAAAAGAAACTGACTAAAGAACCATCCACATCTATCTCAAAAGAGAAGAAGAAATCTTCTTCATTTGACTGCCTATTCTTAAAGATGTTAATCAGGGTATTGGCATCAGAACCATCAAAAGATTTCTTGACCTGTTTTGTCAATTCGTTATCACGCAAGAGAAAACCAACCGAAGGAGATCCACCTGCTTCCGCTTGCAAACATCGAAATCCATCAGCTATCTTGACTCCTTGTTTTTTCAAATGATGCAAGTAATCTAACTCATTAGAAGAAATAGAACGATGAGATCTAACGTGATGAACTAATGAGTTTGGACAAAACTGATGATTATGGTCCATAAGGTGTCTGACAACGACCCACTCACCGCTAGATTTTATCTCAAAATAAATTCGTGCCTTACAATTAGTACGAATGTCAACTTTTGTGAATTGCTTCCCAACAACGCCTTTATTTTTTTTTAAGCTTTGTTTAGTGCAGCAGAACTCCCTTCCCCTAAAGCCAGAACCACCATCCCTCTTTCTCAAAGTAGAGTACCTAACTCCAAAACCAATCCGAAAAGCATAATCATTATACAATTGAAATGCTTCTTCCTCTGAAAATACAGTTGTACCAAGCAACTCATAAAATTCAGCTTCCTTCACTGATATGGTTTCAACAGAAATAGGATCATGACAAACTTGTACAGTCTCAAAACTAGATGAACGTTCAGCTGCAAGAAATAAATAAAGGTAAAATAAACTAAAGATATAAAATTCTAGTAAAAGAAAGGGAAACAATGTACGTAAGAAATGAGCAATACTTGGTCCGAAAGAAAGATATTCTGTTGCACAAACAAGATTTTGGTCTTCACTGAAATTAACAGCAGAATCCAAGAAATCTAGATGAATGGAAAAACATTACAAGAACATCACAAAACAAAATTCAAAATATAAACAGATTGATTAAAGAAGAACAAAATGTATGAGTTGCAATTAGAAAGTATATTACTGGATTGAATGCCAACAATTCCGCCTCCAGAATCTATATCCTCAATTAATCTTCCACGGGGAGAAATACAATCTGCACAGAGTAAAAACAAAACAAACAAAACAAATGTAAACTCAAAACTGATCAACTAAATACTCAAAACATATCAACTAATGCAATGAATTAGTTCATAGAATAAGTACCTCCAAAATCAGCCATATGGTCGATGAGAATCTAAAACAGAAAAAAATTGAACTGAAACAACTTATAATAGTTATAACAGTAGCAACAACGTATAACAATACAACCAAAAAATAAGTTGAGTAAAAATAAAGATGATTACAGGAAAAGATAACTTCGATGAAACAAAAAAGAATTTGAAACGGAAGAAGGAAAAAACATATAAATGTAAAACGGCAAAGAAAACTACTTACCTAAATCAATCAGTGAAGTAAAATCGAAACTACGAATGGAGAAAGCTGCAGAAAAAAACCGGGAAGATCGATAACAAATAAACAGAAGAAGGACCGGAAGAACCGATTGAAGAACAAAATCTATGGCATTGCTACTAAGAAGCAATCCGCGGAAGAAGATGAAAGCTGCGAGACGACGACCAAAGGGAAAAAGCGAACAAAGGGAAAAAGAAGAAATAAAGAGGATAGAAGTTTCAGTTTATTACAAAATT